GTGACCAAGGTGGCCAGCCACGCCAGCCGCTGCAGCCTCGGCCAGGTTTTCCACACCTACAGGAGCCCCCCTACCTGACACTTGGACCTGCTGAACTCTGCTCGTCCTTCTGCTTTCTGCTTCTCCTTCCGAGAGCTTCCTCCGGCTGCTTTCTCAACCAGCCAGGGAATAAACAGAGAGTGTCAATGATAAACCACCTTGTATTATTCTCTGGCCAGAGCTGGGCTGGCCCTTCGTATTGCCCACAATAGTTTAGTCAGTTGACTGAATGAAATAATTGAGTGCCGTTGCCCCTGCCCCATGACAGAATGAAGGACAGCGCCTCCCGTTTCACCGTGGAAACCCTTGGTTGGTTTAAATATATCAGGCTTTATTTTAAATATGGAGCGACTCTGGAGGAGCAGGATAGCAGAGGGACTGACAGATGGTGAGGCCCATTTGTGCCCCAGTTTCTTCATGTGTGGAAAGGGGTAATTAGGCAGTGGCTGTAATGAGATCTATTGATAATCACAAAACACTCAGCGCCTGGCCTGGTAACTGTCGAGATCAGAGAAAGTCAACTGTCCACCCACAGGAGCTGGAAGCTGGGACCTGAATGGAGGTTTTGAATTCAGTGTCCCCTGAATCCCTATTCACAGTGGCCAATGTACCCATCAAGGACAACAAAATATGATCCATCCGTAGGACAGAATGCAACTAGGACCTTAACGCGCAAAAAATCCCAGCCCGATCAATGGCATCTCTCGGCCTCTAGAACATCATATTAACTAAAACAGGAACGGTGTGACAGTGGTTTCTTGGAGAAATGCAGTTTAAAGTTTGCCTTTACACATGGAACTCTCACCCAGGCTGTGACCCAGTTAGTGCTGTGCTTTGATAGATCGTTTGCTACGATGTATTCTTTCTGCTCACATACTGCACATCCAACCTGCTAGGGATCAACTGGCCTCTAAGAAAAATATCACAGTCAGTCTAACTATACTTTGGACTGCCCGCATAGTTAAGGCATGCAAGCTCAGTTTAATGCCCAGCTTTGATTACACTATCTTTTCTATTCCTCCTTTGTAGCTGCTGCAGGACGCTATTGCTGGGGACAAATGTCCACTCACCCTAATAGGGAAGAGACCAAAGTACAGCTAAAGTCCAACTTGGTGAACCAATGAGTTTTATTGGTGTTCCATGCAGGTGTATGGGTGAGGGGTTACTTACAGGAGAACAAATGACTCGAGGCGGCTGCATCACCAGAAGCTGGCACCAGCATGGCTGGCAGTTCATAACAGTGGGACCCGGAGACCTGGAGCTCTAACTGAACAACCTACAGGCAGGCCACTGTAGGCTGGAGAGTGTCCTTTGCAGGTAGCTCAGGTGGTCCAAGACTCTTTGAGGCAGGTCTGGCTGGCTTATTTCTTCCAGGCCATTTGGCTGATCTGATGTCCCAAGAGGCCAACTGTAAGGGTCTTCTAGGCTGCTCGGCTTATCTGAGAATACCACTTAGCAGTTCTTACAGCTAATATACATGCTTCAAGCCCAGTGAGTCTGGTCAGTTTGGGGGACTTCCTAAAGCTATTCTCAGTTGTTTGCTTCCTGTCTTTTTTCGTTTTGTTTTGTTTTTGTTTTACGAGACAGGGTTTCTCTGTATTGTTTTGGAGGCTGTCGGTCCAGCCCTGCCTCGAACTCACAGAGATCCGCCTGCCTCTGCCTCCCGAGTGCTGGGATTAAAGGCGTGCGCCACCACTGCCAGGCTTCACATGACATTTTGAGTCAAGAACATCAATGAGTTTGTTGTGTAGCAGTCTCCTCAGTATTACAGGCTTCAGTTTTGGAGGAAGCCCTAAGGACACAGGACATTTCCAGGGAGGTGAAACACTAGCAGTGAAGCTGGTTAAGACAGGAAGGGTGGTGGTGGCGCACGCCTTTAATCCCAGCACTCGGGAGGCAGAGGCAGGTGGATCTCTGTGAGCTCGAGGCCAGCCTGGTCTACAGAGTGAGTTCCAGGACAGCCTCCAAAGCCACAGAGAAACCCTGTATGGAAAAAAAATGTCATGTGTGCACCGGTTGTGGGGACCAACCAGGTCCAAGGCTATGTGCTGGAAGCAGTGTGCTGTCCTGAGTAGGTAGAATGGGGGAAATTTTATTTTTCTCTTTCTGAGACTACTGTAAAAGATTAAGACCAAAGCTGCTCATCCTGCTTGTTGTATCTCCTGTGTTGTTCAGTAGAGAGAGAACAGTCTCGATTCGGGACTCCCTTTTTTAGATTAGGACTTCTCAATTAGACTCGTTTTAGACTAGACCTATTCTAGATTGCACTATTGGAATAGGAGGAACCCAGACTCTTGGATAAATCAGGTCTCTTTCCCTTTATGTGGCATCACCAAACAATCACAAAAGGACAATGGCTGTATACACCCATTCATGAGATCCGTGCCGCAGACACAGCCACAGAATGGGGCTACCAGGGGCTAAGGGATAGAGGGGAACGGCAGTTGTTGTGTAACGGGGACCAAGGATTCTGTGCAGCTGGAGACATGGCTCGGTTGCTAAGAGCACCTGCAGCTCCTGCAGAGGACCCAAGCTTAGTTCCCAGCACCAGTACTGAGCAGCCTCACGACCGTCTGTCACTCCAGGTCCAGGGGAGCCAGTGCCCTGTTCTGTACCACCAAGCACCTGGGCTCCCACGTGTACATACTCACACACAGACCCACACTACAGTGCACTAATGCTGACAGCCAGAATGGTACATTTTGAGTTGTGTGTGTGTGTGTGTGTGTGTGTGTGTGTCATAATTAAACACTCAAGAGGAAGGGCCTGTTATCTCAGCACACAGGATATAGAATAAAGGGATTCTGAGTTCCAGGCCAGCCTGGGCTATAAAGATCTTGTCTCAAATAAACAAATAAAAAACAACACCCAAGAGATAAAGAATCAGCAGTTGCTGCTTGTGGAGAGAAGGTAACCCTGTGTTGCGGGCAAGCAGCCCATCGTGGCTGGTGGCCAGGTGCTGGCCACCAGGACTTCTGGCTCCACCAGGAGCCTTTGCTGCCCTGACTCTCAGGCTACCAGGGGTTGGGTTTGGGGCAGCAGCTTTCCAGACAGGCTGTTCGTTCTAACTGCTTCTCCCCTGTAGAGTCCATCTCTTGGCTGGCCTCTGGTGGACTATGTAGCCTAGTTGAACTAGCCAGATATGAGGACCACATGGATTGGCTAGCCACATACCCTTTGTATTGAGAACTTGGCATAGGACCTTCGACCCTCACCCTTAACTCAAAGAAGTGCCCGGTGTGCCCTCAGGAGATGGGTGGCACCTGATTCTGCTCTGAGAAAGATCCTGTAGGGATCTTGAGACAAGATTGACAGTCCAACATCTGTCCCACAGAGCCCAGAGGCTCCAAGCAGATGTGTGGTCTTGAAGGCCTGACTCCCCTCTCTCAACCCTACCCTCGGCGTTTCCCAGTCATTCCCTAACCTGTTTGAAATGAGGAATTGGAGAGATGAAGCCGGGACTGGGTAGACTCTGATGAGGTGGCACAGTGTGTCAAGAGGCAGCCAGGAGGTGGTAGGCTAGGACTCCTGGGTTTCTGTCCCCTTTTGTCTTTGGTTGCAAGTGTGGGTGGGACTGATCTCCCTCGGGTGCCCTGTGGACAGAGGCAATAACCTCCAGTCTGAGCTCTGTGGGCTCATCTGAAAATGTCACCCAGTAGGACCGCAGAAGAGGTTGCATCTGGCTTTTGTGTTTGTTTTTTGAGACAGAGTCTCAAACACAGTGAGAACTGTGTAGACCTGGCTGTCCTGGAACTTGCTATGTAGACAGGGCTTGGCCTTAAACTCAGAGAGGTCTAGCTACTCTGCTGCCCTAGTGCTGGGATTAAAGGTGTGAGCCGCCATGCCCAGGAACCCTCTGTACTTGCCTTCTACAACCTACCAAGGATAGGATGGAGGAGCATCTTAAACCTGGCACTAGGCCACTGCTCCCCATGAGGAAGAGGAAGTTCTAAGTTTCCAGGGACAACCCCTAAGCATAACCCCCCACTCAGATACCCTTTCTTCTCCCTTCAAAGCCGGGCTTAGGCTGGCAGGGGACTAAGAGAGAATCCAAAACAAAAGATAGGGAGGAGCTGAAATCCAAGTAGAGGCAAAAAAGAAAACTGGTGTTTAGCCGGGGAAATTCCTGAGTGAGCCCATCTTCCAGGGGGCTGAAATTCCTAGGGAGTGAAGCATCCCCCTTCCTACACTGGCTTACAACTCCACCCTCCCCCAGGGCAGATCCTGAGAAAAAAGCCTGCAGAAGGGAATCCTGAGGATCTGGTCCAAACCCAGCCCGAGATAGCTTGTCAGTGGGAGTCCCAAAGGAGGCTCAGTGAGGGGTGTCTGTCGTGTCTGCCTGTGTGACCTCTGGGCGAGGCGCTGCTAACACTCAAGGCTTGGTAATGACAGGTCTCGAGAGGTCCCAGTACCGGCGGTGTGCCCAGCTACCGTAGGACGTCTCCGCCAGGAAGCTTGCCTTCCAGGCTTCCACGGACTCAGTGCTGTGCAGAGGGTGACAAGCATGCGACCGAGGCGTTGAGGCGGTAGAAGGCGCACCCCAGACCTAAGTAGGTGCTGACTGTGTGACGCGCAACAGCGGCTTTGGGCGTGCGCCCCCTGCTTGGCAGCCAATCAGAGACCGTCGTGGGACAATGGCCCCGCGCCTGGAGGAACTTGTGGCCCCCCGAGACCCTCCGCTGCGCACACACACCCTGGCCACGCGGGCCCAGCTCTCGTACGCTTTTTCCAGGCTGTTGGGAACAACGAAGCGACCCGCCCCTCCCTCCAAGAGCCCGACCCCGCCCCCAGCTCTAGAATCCGCTTGGTCTTTGGCCTCCGCCCGCCCATCCTCCCTCCCGCGGGTTTTCCGCGGTTGCGGCTGGTGGGGGTAGGCGGGAACCCGGGTGGAGCCTGCGACTATTTCAGGCTGTGCCCCGCCAGGGCCAGGACTAAGGCGTCCTGTCCCGGACACAGTAAGTGACCTCCACCGGCTCCTACCGCTCTGGGGTAGCTTCCCCTCCGGTCCTGACCCAGAGTCTCCGACAGGATTCCCCGAGGGAATGGCCTGAGTGGCCAAGAAGACACGGGAGGGATATTCCGAGGTCCCTTGACCTCCAGCATAGTACCCTTTGAACCCCTCGAGCCAGGGGGACCGGTTCCCGGCGCGCAGCACCAGGCTCTCTCCGGAGAAAACGAGGACAATAGCTGGAGAGTCTCAGGTTTACAGGAGGAAGGGCCAGCACACTCGGGATTCCCTGCCCGGGTAGTCTCTAGTGGGGCGTGGGCACGCGCTCCTGTCACCCGGTGACAGAGACAGGTGGCAAGACCAGTGAGATTCTCTGTGGACAGGGGCTTCTAGAATGAAGGTAGGTGACCCCAGCTGCAGCCATCCCTCGTGCCTCTGGGCAGCCCCTTCCTACCTCAGTGGGCCAGCTGGGGCTGGGGCTTTAACACCCCCTCATCACTCCTGCTCCCCGGGGTGCCCGCAGTCGCAGGGACTCAGGGGACCCTTGGCACCATCCGGTGCCAAGTTCCAGGCTTGTGATTTTGCCTCATCCCGAGACGCACTGTGAGTAGGAGGGTCCATCCTCATTTCACAAATGGCAAAACTGAGACCTACTGAGGAAGGAGGCAATTTAGCCCTAACGCCGGGGAGAGGATGTAGCTGGTCCTCCGTCTCGTACCAACAGGCTGTGACACTGAAGGGCAGATGGGGCCAGGTATTCAGGTTGGGGCTGAGTAGCTCCATAAGCCAGACCAGCCTTTATGGGTGTTTGTCACGCAGATAGGATGGGTTGGCCCAGCCCTTAAACGCTGCACGGCCCTAAGTGGAATTCTCAGGCCCCATGAGGTAAAGTGAGAGATCTGTATGTTGGGGCACCTGGTAAAGATGACAAGGGCTGGGGTGGAGGAGCCCAGGCTTCCTGTCTAATCAGGGTACCCTACCCATGCCCTAGTTATGGGACAAGCCCCTCAGGAAGTGGGCCGGACAGCCAGCCGAGCTGTTGGAGGCAGAAAGGCTGTGGGAAAGAGGCCTTATCTGTGGTTGTAGAGTCTGCTGTTGGAGGCAGAAAGGCTGTGGGAAAGAGGCCTTATCTGTGGTTGTAGAGTCTGCTGTGCTTGGCCCCGTCGGCAGCTCCGTTTCTTCTTTGTGCTGGTGGGTCTTATGTCTGCTAGGGCTGTTGCAAGGCCCCTCCGGGTCATTTTGGTGAGTTAAAGCTACAGCTTGGGGTGTGTATTTCGGAGAAGGGGCAGGCAGGTCACTCCTGGTAATGGGTCATACCATTACCACAGAGGCGTTCTTCCTGTCTGAGCGTCCTCCTGGGCTAGCCATGCTTCCTCTGGGGTGGGGGGTCCTCCTTGCTCTGACAGTCCAGATACGGCGGGGTATGTGGAGGCCCGAGAAATGCCCGCCAGTCATTTGAGCCAGATGCTGTGGCTTTTGACCTCAAGCTATTGACCACAAGGTTATTTTAAGCTAAATAACACCCTTGCTGGGAGGGAAGAGATGGGATGGGCACCCAGGAAGGGCATAGAAACAGAAGCTTTTGAGGGGCACCCCACTTGGGAGCAAGCAGGGTAAGGTAGAAGCCAGGCAGTGTAGGCCCCACACTGCAGCCTCTGGTAGCCCTGTGCCTTGCTAACACGTGAAAGGCTTTCTGGGGTTCTTTGCTTAGTCTGAAGTCCCCAGTCCTAAGACAGCACAGGGTACACGCTTTGTTCTTTTTGTGGTCCTGGTACAACGGCTGGTTTTTGGTTTTTGTTGTTTTTTTGTTTTTGCTTGTGGTATATTTCTGTGACCCCAAAGCTAGATAAGAACTGTGTGAGGAGGAGGAGGGAGGAGGCAGAGGCTGATCTCAGCAGGTAGGGTGCTTTAGTTCTGTGACCACTGCGTGGCTATGAAACTTTTAGACCTGTTCTTGCTGTCCTGAGGAATAGAAACCTGTATCCTGTCTCCTCACCAGAGTCTGCTGGAGTCAGAGAGGTACTCACTTCTCCCGTCTCCTTTCCCTCCAAGAAGCTGCACTATCAAGGGAGGGTTTACCCAACTGCAGAGACCGCACCCTCAATCTGGGGCCTCCAGCCTCTTCCTTATCTGGAGAGACAAGTTTGTGGGCTCTACGGCACCCACCGCCAAGGAGGAAGCAGAGGGTTGAGGGCCAGGCGATGGGGGTTCTGGTGGCCGTACAGGTGAAATAGATGGAGCCCTTGTCATGGCTTCAAGCTGGTATGCACTCAGGCCTGGGGACCAATCACGGGCATCTCTCAAGGCTTTGTTTTCCAACCTGCAGATCTGAGCCGGGGTGATGCTGAAGATGGTGACTTTCTTCCAAGGGCTTCCTGGCCAACAGTCTGTGCTGGGGACCCTGGACTTTCCTGGAAGCCCCCAAAAGTCACAGTCCACATCTGAGCTGGAATCAGAGGCCTCCATGTCTGAGGCTTCCTCTGAGGACCTGATGCCATCCCAGGAGGCTGGATTGACACCAGATGGGGAGGAGGAAGAGTCTGCAAAGAAGAAGAAGAAGCCCAAAGGACTGGTCAACGTGTTCAGTGTCTTCACCAAAGGGAAGAATAAGAAGAAAAAGGACCAGCCCAGATCATCAGATCCTGAGGTCCAGTCCAAGTCCAGGCTCGAGCTAGATGGTCCACCGCCCACAGGTAGGCTGCGGTGCTGGCTGGGGCTGGAGTAGCAGGAAGGAGGTGGTGCGGGTTTGGGCAGAGTAGGGGCTCGTAAACCGCTCAGCCAGGACAGAGGGCAGGTGAGGCGCCTAGGCGAGTCACCAGTCTAGTCTCTTGTCTGGGACATTGGCCTCCTCCCTGGGATCCCAGTCTCCTCTTGTCCGCGGTGAGCTAACGCGGGTTTCTGCGCCGCAGTGGAGGAGCTCAAGGAGGCCCTGGAAAGTGGGCGGCTGGAGGCCGCGTGGCCTGTGCTGGCGTTGGAGCGGGACCTGGAGGCTTTGGCAGCGGCGGGTGGCGCGAGCGACGAGGAGCTGGTGCGCCAGCAGAGCAAGGTGGAGGCGCTGTACCTGCTGCTGCGCGACCAGGTGCTCGAGGTGCTGCGGCGGCCGCTGGAGGCGGCCCCGGAACGGGTGAGCCAGGCGCTGGCCGTGGTGTCGCAGCAGGAGCTCGAGGACCGTCGGGCGGCCGCGGGACCCGTGGCAGCGGTGCTGGCGGCCACGCGCCCTCGGCGCTGGCTGCAGCTGTGGAGGGGTGGCGTGGCGGAGGTGGCAGCTGAGCGTCTGGACGGGCCGCCAGTCGCGGTGCCCCAGGGCCGCTCAGAGGTCGAGAACAGGTTCGTGCACATGGGCTGCACCATGAAGGAGGACCTGGAGGCCGTAGTGGAGCGCTTGAAACCGCTGTTTCCCGCCGAGTTCAACGTTGTGCACACCTATGCCGAGAGCTACCACCAGCACTTCGCTACCCACCTGTGCACCTTGGCGCAGTTCGAGCTGTGTGAGAGGGACACCTACTTGCTGCTTCTCTGGGTGCATAACCTCTACCCCAAGTGAGTTGTGCCGGCGGATGGGATGGGTCTCCTCTGCGGGTGAAGGGTGCTGAGACACCAGAGGCAGACATCGTTGAGCTGAAAGCCAGTGTTGGGGTGAAGGGAGAGAGTTTGGAATTGTACCCAACGGGTTGGTTTTGCATTCCAATTTCCTGCACCTTTGCCATTCTGCAGTTGGGGAAAGGGAGGCACAGAAAAGGGGACTGCGTCATTCATTCTCAAGGAGGGGCTGTGACACATGCAGCTGGACACGGGGGAGGCCACAGCACGGGGCCTGAGAGGAGACCAGATCTGGGGGAGTCAGGGAGTCTTATGTATTGAGTCAGTCCACATGGTAACAGATGTACAGTCAGGCAGGGAGAGGACGAACAAACAAGGAAGAGGCGGAGGGGAGGAAGGTATTCCAGGCAAGGAGCTGACATCCTGGGAGCTGAGTTGCTGCATCTTAACAACCCCAAGTAAGAGAGCCAGCAGCCGTGGAGCGGCACTGGGTGTCCCCCTTGGGGAATCTCTGTCACACAGGATCGCCCAGGGAGCCCATTGGGATCTGGCTCACCTCAGGTGAGCGGCTGACTGTGCCAACGATACCAGTTGCCTAATTGGTACTCAGCTGGGCCCGGCCTCAGACATCGTTTGATTGGCCCAGAATCCATGGGTCCCAGAATGCACCTGTCATCCAAAGCAGCAGAGTGACTTGTATTACAGGGTGGAAATGTCCACAGCACTAGAACCAGGGATTCTTACTGGTTCTGCCCACATGAGCAGAATGCCTACAGGGAGGGAGGCTGAGGGTACCGGCAGTGTGAGCAGTGTGTGAGCAGTGTGTGAGCAGCTTGCTGGAGGCTGAGGGTACCGGCAGTGTGAGCAGTGTGTGGGCAGCTTGCTGGGAGGCTGAGGGCACCGGCAGTGTGAGCAGTGTGTGAGCAGTGTGTGAGCAGCTTGCTGGGTGCAGAGCCAGCCTCCTGTGGGAGGGAGGGCCAGAGAGGGGCCACCGCAGGGGTGGTAGGTGAAGAGCCAGCCAGCACGGCACGGGGACAATGGGCAGGGACTTCCAGAGACAGCCGGGCCCTGATCTAGTTCCTGTTGGTTTGTCCTGACTCATCAGGAAATACCAGGCACTCACACCCCCTGCCTGACCACCTTCCCGCCTCTGTGATACTTTGGGGTCTCCTGACTTGGGGTGCAGCTGCAAAGCAGGAAGCTAAGGCTCGCCTGGAGTCTGAGGGAGGCATGTCCAGGCCTGTGAGGACCAGTGTGGCACCCGTTCATCCAAACTGGGTGAAGGGCAAAGAGAGGGCTATTCTTAATATTACAGGCAAACAAAGGGCCTTAGGCACTGCCAGGGCGGGGCAGATCCCCTGGGAACTCTGAGGTCACTTGAGGCACCAAGAGACTTCTATAGAGGAGTCACAGGGTAGCCCTTCCTGTACAGCCACAAGACTGATTTGGGGGTGGGGGTGGGGCTGGCTTGTAGGGCCAGTGGGGCCAGAAGCTGTGTTGTATCTGTGCAAAAGGGGAAGCCCAGTAGACCGGCAGAAACCTGGTTATGGGGGCGAAGGCACTATTGGTGGTCAGCGCAGACGCAAAGGAAGGTCCTTCAGTCAGCTGGGCAAGAGAGGTGGAGGGCTTGTGGGGGTGCAGGGCAGCCTCCAGGCCAAGAGGTCTGGGGAGCTGGGTTAGTGTAGGAGGAGTGGGGGAGGGGGAGTAAGAAGAGGCAGGATGACTCCAGCCGGAACTAAGTTGAGTGTGGTCCGACATGGGGAGGGGTGACGGGGGAGCGGGCAGAAGCCACAACAGTGTCTGCGGCTGCTGAGTCGGTGGCCTAGGCCGCTGGGGCGCTGCTGTCATTCCCTCATGCCCGTGTCTCTGTGCCCGCAGTGAGATTCTGAACAGCCCTAAGTTGGCAAAGGAGCTACAGGGTATCAGGCTTGGGAGCCTCCTGCCGCCTAAGCAAATCAGGTTGCTGGAGGCTGTGTTCCTGTCCAATGAGGTGGTGAGTCCAAATGCTGGGGGCGGGGCCTGACAGGCTTAGTGGAGATGGAAGGGAAGAGCCCAGGCAGGATGCAGGATGTGACAGACAGACACTTCTGAGTGAGCTGGCTGACATTTAGTGCTATTGTGACCTGCGTCTTTCACCCTAGACCAACGTGAAGTTACTGATGACCCGAGCCTTAGAGCTAGAGTCTCAACGCTGGGTCCAGGATGTGGCTCCCCAGAGCCTGGATGGCCACTACCACAGCGAGCTGGCAATTGACATCATCCAGGTACCACTAAGTGCCCCCTCAGGGAGCCACAGCTCACCTCTGATGGAGCCCATGTCCCAGCATGCTCCCCCTCCCATGCTCTACCCCGCCCCAGTTCTGAGGGGCACCTGTTCCGCTTACCCACCGCTCCCTGCAGATCGTGTCACAAGGCCAGGGCAAGGCTGAGAACATCACTTCTGAAGTGGGGGTGCAGATGAAGCAGTTGCTACTGGTGGAGCTGGCTGCACTACTTAGGAGGTAGGTGTGTCCGCAGCACACAGGGTCCCCAGCACCCCTGAAAGCCCTGTGCTTAGGGTTGGGGAGGGGGTCCAAGCTAAGTCGTCCTGTCCTGCCTTTGTCAACTCCAGTGCACGGTTCTTTGCCCCTGCCCCAGTCCGGAGCACCAAGAGCCCCAGGTGGAGCGATCTCCTCAGGGAGTTGGTACCTCCTGACTCCATCATCAGCAAAGCTCCCTAGCAGAGCAGTTGGTAGCCTAAAAGAAGATACCCCATGAGGGATGGGGGCACTGCTGCCCCTCCCCCATGACATCCTCAGAATGAACTTGGTCTCCTCCCCGCTTCTGAGAACACCATCAGCCGACTGTAACACCCTCTGGCTTCCCAGTTATAGAGGAGGGGCCTGGGGAGGAGGAGGGGTCTAGGAAAAGAATGGAGAACCCAGAGTGAGGCAGTACTTTCTCTGGAGCCCGAATGGGGGCGATGCCTCATTTTTGCAGCTTGTACTATGATGTTTAGGAGCTTACGGCCCCTCCCTGGATCTTGGGGAGACCAGCAACCCACAGACTGAGGGGGAGTGGCTTCTATTGTCCCGTTGTTTGAACTGGCCCTGAAGGTGCCCTTCTGGTTTTGCCAGCTACCAGCGCACCTTTGATGACTTTCTAGAGAAAAGCAAACTGCTGGGAAATTATAGGGCCAACATCATCGCCAACATCAACAACTGCCTGTCCTTCCGGTGAGAGTGCTGGGCAGGACCACCCTATGAAAAGAGGGCAGATGGGTGGTGGAGCACAGAAGGGGATTAAGGGTCACAAGGCTGTGAGGAGCCTGGAGCAGCCACAGCTAAGGGGCGGGGTGCTCAAGCGGTCAGCAGGATGCCATTGATACACCCATTACTTTAGCTTTATAATAAAACCGTGAAGCAGAAGGCAAACTAAGGGTGGAGAAGCAGAGACTTGCGAAAGGCAGAAGGGATGTGCCTGGGACACGGGGCGCACATGGGAAGCCTTGGACTGGATGCCCACAGAGAGCTGAGAACTGCTGAGGGTCCTGGAGCTTCAGGAAGACTAGGCCAAGGATCACGGTAGTTGCTGGAGGCTGGGTAGGCTGTCATGACCTTCTTCCATCCGCTCTCCAGGACATCCATGGAGCAGAAGTGGCAGATACCTCAGGATTCCCTGAGGCACCTGTTGGATCCCTTGAGAGATCTTAAGGCCCATGGCTTTGACACCCTGCTCCAGAGCCTGTTTGCAGACCTGAAGGTATAGGGAGGTCCATTCTGGGGCACGTCCTGAAACCTAGCACAGGAGGGAAATCAGGGAGAGGGTTAGCAGAAGCCCCCGCCTCAGACCTGTGGGAGGCAAAGGAGGGAAGGCTCAGTGTTGCTGGGGCCCTGGAGTGCTCCCCAGCTGACCCATCCCACGTCCTGGCTTTGCCTTGGCCTGGAAGGGTCCCCAAGCTGGGAGCACTTGGAGATTCACCCACCCCCACCCCCGCCATTCCTGGCTCCCAGTTCCTGGGGCTCAGGACCTTTGCTGGCTGGAGTCCATCTCCTGAGCGCCCCTCAGAAAGCAGGGCAGAGGCTCTAAGCTCAGCTTCAGCACTGAGGTCCAAAGGGCAGCCGGTGGCTATGGAAAGCCCATGGGTTGACCCTGTGTGACCTGGCACAGGGCTCAGCTCCGCCAAGCACAAGGCCTTGTTTATGCAGGAATTTATTTATTTGAGAGAGAGGCAGTGGAAAAGACCGCAGGCCTGCAGACAGGCTGCCCTGGCTCTCCCGAGCCACAGCTGCATGGCCTTGGAAGAAAGGTACACACAGAATACCTCTGCTTCCGATCTGAGAGCAGGGACCTCAAAGCTAGCCAGCTCCTGGAAAGCCCTTGGGACCCTACGGTCATGAGTGTCTGTGTGAGGGTGTCTGCCTGGCTGCCCTTCCTTTCTGGGTGTGACCAGACATCCTGCCTCTTGCCTGCCACAGCCACTGTTCAAGAGGTTCACACAGACCCGCTGGGCAACGCCGGTTGAGACCCTGGAGGAAATCATCAGTACTGTGGATGTCAGGTTGCCTGAGTTCTCGGAACTGAAGGACTGTTTCCGGGAGGTGAGAAAGCTCAGGAGTGAAGGGGGGGGTTGGGGGATGTTGGGCCCAGTCTGGACACCCATGCTAACTAGCAGTGTTTATACCCCAAACCCACATGTGTTTACACATGCACAAGGGGAATGCAGGCACCTGTGCTCACACTTTGCCTTGTGTAATGAGCATTCTTCCCTCTGGCCTGGTCCCAAAGCCACATCAGACCCAAATAACACACAGAGACTCTGTTAGTTACAATGCTGTTGGCCAACGTCCAGGGCTTCTCATTGGCTAGTTCTGTCTTAAGTATTAACCCATAACTACTAATATATATATTTCTATAAGGTCTTATCTTACCGAGGATGCCAGCCTCATGCCTCCTCTCTTCCCAGGATCACATGGCAACTCTCCACTCTTGACTACATTTCCCAGAATCCTCCTTGACTCCTAGTCCCACCTATCTTGCTTCCCTATTGACCAACAGTGCTTAATTTATCAACCAATAAGACAAACATATACACAGAAGGATTCTCCCATCAGCGTTGGAAGCTTTAATTGGGGGGTGGGGGTGGGGATGAGCCCCCTATGGGGATGGGAGGTGTGGATGCACCCCTATGGGGTGTCAGTGGATGACTCATGCCCCTGGCTTCTGCACTCCCAGGAGCTCATGGAGGCCGTGCACCTGCACCTGGTGAAGGAGTACATCATCCGGCTCAGCAAACGGCGCCTGGTCCTCAAGACCGAGGAGCAGCAGCAGCAGCTGGCACGGCACATCCTGACCAATGCCGAGGTCATCCAGGACTTCTGCATTCAGAGCGTGAGCACACCCTCCCCCCACCCCGGGAGCCTCTCCAAGCCTGGCCAGCTAGCTACTGCCCTCTCAGTACCCCCACATACACAGACACACACGCACACACGCACACACATCCTCCAACCATTCCCTCTGCTTCCAGGGCTCCCCTGCAACCTGGCTGCACCAGGCCCTCCCTAAGCTCGCTGAGATCATTCGCCTACAAGACTCCAGCGCCATTAAGATTGAGGTGGCCACCTATGCCACCTTGTACCCTGACTTCAGGTGAGTACTAGAGGCCCTCAGGAACTGAGTAGTGGGCTTGCCCCTGCCAGGTCCCACTGTACCCTCAGCATGCTGGCACAAGAGTCCCCTATGACCCACTCAACAGCTAAGGCTCCATCAAGGTCAGATCATAATGTCTAACCTGCAGTCTGGGGGTGACCTGGGGTCATGAGCTTATGTCTTGTACCCTCCTGTTCCTGTTAAGGACCTGACTGAGGACCTGGTGAACCACGGAAGGTGTTCCTTCCTAGGCCGTGTCCTGGATGGGAAAGTTTGAATTAGTCTTGACTGGGGTTGACGTAGCTTAGCCTAGTCTAATCTGCGGCTGACCCACCCCGCCTATCCAATCATCTGTCTACATATATTGACCTGCATGCATACAAGCGCCATCCACTACCCCTCTGTCCTTATGCTTAAACACCTCTCCACTCTTCTATTGATCCGGCTGTCCATCCTTCCAGTCATCTGTCCGTCCTTCTGTTTACCTACGTATCCACCTGTCATACCTCCAGCCATGCCCCACCTTCCCATGCAGTTGCCCTATCCATCCTTCCTGTACCTTACAGCCTGGCGAGGGCTGACCATGAGGAGAGGTGACCAGGGAGAAAGAGAAAATTCCAAGTTGTAGAGTTCAATCATCTTGAATTACAGGGATTGCTGTCCAGAGACTGCAAAGCCATCTGGAGAGGTGACGTTTAGCTGAAACTTTAGGTGGGAAGGAGTCAGCCACCTCAAGAGTGTGAGGAGAGATGTTCTGGGGGAGCAGCCAGTGGGGGGCCTGACAGGCTGGAGAGGGGAGGAGACAGGGAGGACAAGGCTGCCTACTGGGGACAGCAGCCGGCTGCAGGTTCTGTGGCGGGACCTGGAGTCAGAGAAGCCAGCACGAGCTTGTGAGCCGGGGGTCTGTGGGCAGTGGGACTGACAGGGTGCTCTTCTTGCCAGCAAAGGCCACCTGAATGCCATCCTGGCCATCAAGGGAAATCTACCAAGCAGCGAGGCCAGGAGCATCCGGAATATCCTGGACATCAACACAGGGGTGCAGGAGCCTTCCAGGCCCCTATTTTCACTCATAAAAGTTGGTTAACTTTTCCAAATGTCTGATGTGCTAATGAGCACGCAGGGAGCATCAGACACCGCCCTAGTTGGGGATGCTCAGCGGCAACAGGAACGTGACCCATCACCAGCCCCACATTCTGCTGTTGCCGACGCCCAGCCCAGGCTCTGGAACAAGACCTGGCAGTCGGGACTGCACAGACCACTGTCCAGGGGCGGCCCAGAACCCACTGTGGGGAGATGACCAGTGAGACCCTGCCTTCCTACATTAGTCTGTCTTCTACTGCCCCCTCCGCTCAGGTGGCTCCAAGTAGCCCCCTCCAGCTCCCTAGGGCCAGTGATGAAGCCTCATCCCGCTTCCTTCAGCCCAGGGGCTGCCATGATCTAGAGCTGAAAAGGAAAAAGGAAAACTTAGTCTCTGATGTGGGGCCCGGAAGGAGGCTTGGGACACGCATGGCAGATGTAGCATCAGAACCGCTTCCAGAACAGGCCCCTGGCCCCACGGTTAGCTCCTGGTACCCCTCAGCCAGGAGGACCCGCTCCTTCAAACCCTATGGCTGCCCCCGTGCCTGTGTGTGTGTTTGGGGAGCAACCCACAAGGCCTTGGTAGAGCCAGGGCGCATGGGTTCCCTCAGGTTGTACCTTCCCCCGTGCAGGAATAAGCACCTCTGTAAGCCGGCCCTCCGAAGTCTGGGTGGGAACACAGGAGTTCAGCAAGTGCCTGGCCAGCTTCCTGTCGGTGCTGTACCGCATCTCCACACATGGAGTAGGTCTGAACCAGAACTTTCCTCACAGCTCCAATCTAAGTGTGGTCAGGGCCCGTTGCCTCTGGAGGCCCCAGGGAAGAGTCATTTCCTGGACTTTCCCAGTTGTTAGAGGCTACCCACATCTCTTGTCTGAGGCCCTTGTGTCTTCAGAGCCAGGGACAGCTACTCTGTCCCTCATGACACCGCGGTGTCTCCTGCTTCCAAGCCTTCTGTGGTTTAGAAGCCCAGTGATTGCACTGAACCTGCCTGGAGACTTATTAGCAGCCTTCATTCCAGCTTACAAATTTAATTCCTGTTTCCCATGTCACCCAATAGTCATTGGCTCTGGGGACCAGTGTGTCCCACAGCTGGAAATCATCGAGCACTGCTATTCCTCTATAGCCATGAAAGCCATTCTCAGCACTGACCCAGCCTTGATTCCTCCGCGTGGTTCCAGGCTGGGGTTTGAAGCCCTTCCTCCAGACTTACTCCCTTTCCCAGGTACTTACAGAACTGGCCACTTTGAGCAATGCATAAAGGCCTTCATATTTTTGTAGATGTTAGCTTGTTTGATGACATTAATATTGTTGACATTATTTTTATAGTGTTGATTTTGTATACGTGTACTTGGGACAGAATTTAGGGTGGTTGTGTTTTTTATATAGCTTGATATAAAACTGATTTCAAAAGTGGCTGTGGAGTGGTTTATTTGGAGAATTGCAAAGTTGGGGGAGGGGCTGGGATAGCTCTAGTGGCTGCTTCATCCTCCTGTTGTCAGCAAACCCTCTCTTCTCCCGTTCTGGTTCATAGTCACAGTCCTGGCTGCCCAGCTCTTGTGATCCAACCTACCAAATGCTGTGTGCTTTAATGAGCCTAGGTCCATTTCTTCATCCCTCCCTGTGTCTTTGCCTATAAGTGGGCAACTGGTCACTCCGAAGATGGGGGTACGGAGGGCTGGTGGGAACAGTGAGTTGTGGGCTCTCAAGTGAACAACACGCTCCTGGTTTATACACAACCCAAGGGCATATTGACCGCCTCCTCTGCACCCCACTTCTGACCTAGAATTTGGGGCAGAGCTGAGCCTCTAGGGGAAAAGGGACATGACAAACCCACTCCACAAAGTTCAAGAATGATTCTAGAGGGTGGTGAGGAGTTGGTGACCGCACCCCATAAAGGTGCGTGCGTGCGTGCGTGTGTGTGTGCGCTGGGGAGACAGGCTGGCAGGAGACCCAAAGGACATCTGGGGCAGGACCTCTCAGTGCCTGCCAGTGGCTGCCCATTTGTGTTGGTTTGAGTCTCCTTCACAGAGCCCAGGGCTCTTACCTAGGACCTCCCCGCTAGCATGAGAGGCGATCCCTTGGCTGAAGATCAAGGAGAAACTAAACTGGGCCAGATGAGCACATAGAGTCGCTGAGCCCCAAGAGCCAAGTGGAGGATGACAGTGCCTGGGTGACCCCAGAGGCTCCTGGCTCTGGGTGCAGGTAAGGCCCTCCTCATCACCCTGGGTGAGGGTAAGGCCCTCCTCATCACCAACCAACCTAGCCGCCACTTGAGTTCCACAGCAGTCATTTCTCCAGGAAAATCCTAAAATAAGCAGGATTTGCCCCAGAGAGGGGAAGTGAGTCACCGGGCTTGGGGGCAGAGGCTCTGTGTGGTGTCAGGCCAGCCGGCTCCAGAACTCTGACGCAGGGAAGAGGTCACTGCCTGATCCCATCTCTGGCATTGGAAGCAGACTTGTTTGTCCATCAGGGTCCACGATGAAGGGCTCACTTCCCTGATATCCACTGTTTCAGCAGTCTACACAAACACCAAGTAAAAAAAAAAAAACAGTGGAGAGCTAAATGCATGCAGCAGGGGCCCGTGGAGGTGACACTAGCTGTGACTCCATGGGGGACTGACTGAAGAAGACTATTGGCTGAGATCCCAGACCAGAGGAGCCCCTGGCACAGACCACTGAGTGCCGCTTGGACAATGGTGGGGAGATGGGAGCTGGGAAGAGTCAGGCTGTAGGGAAAAGGAGGTGGACTTTGGGAAGTCTGTCAGGACAGGCTGGAAAGCACGGCTGAGACACATACAGGCCAGGGTCAAGTTCATCCCAGTTGTAAAGGGAGGGGTCAGAGACTCTTGAAGGGAGGAGTTAGTGATTTAGGACCTAGAGGGACACCTCGGGCTGCTCCCTTGAAAATGGAAGACAGAGAAGACCCAGGACACTTCATAAGTACTAAGTTCCCCAGGGGAGAGAGGAAGGGTAGGGAGGGCTCTGACTGACAGGGGTGGGTGGGCTCTGTGCTAAAATCATCAGCTGTGGTCTGAGGCTCTACTTCCAGAGGTGAGGATGGCCTTGCGGGGACGGGGAGCCTGGGGGGCTCGGGGAGGAACTGAGCCAAGCTCAGTTTGAGAAGTCTGCAGAAGAGGGTGTGGCTCATTGCCAAGACCAGAGGAATGAGCGCCCTGGGTGAGGCTGCCGGAAAGCAGTCCTTGGGTTATCTTTGCACAGCCCTGGGGAGGCCGGTGTGAGGCTAGCACACGGATCTCACAACTGGGTGGGAGCCAGCTATGCCCTTTCTATGTGATCTGAAGTCCAGCAATTATGTGAAGTGACAGGGGCATCGGGTCAGTCACTTCCTTTGTCACGGCAAAATGCTGGAAACTCCCAAAAGTGCCCATCAGTGGGCAGCTGGGAATAACCTCAGCCCCACCCAACAATGGAGGCCTGTGCGGCAGTGAAGAAAGGGAGGAAGGTCCCTCTGTGTGGACTAGAAAAGCCAGATCGTATAATGTCACGGGGGAGCACAGTGCACGGCAGTGTGCCACATTCCGCCTTCACGTAAACGCAGTCGGAAGACGGATGTGCACTGGAATCTGCTTGTGGGTGTCGCTGGAGTGATTTCGCGGCCGAGACATGTGTAGGTATTAGCATTTTATACCCGCACACTCAGCTGAGGGGCTGAAAGCACGTGGTCCTGGGGACTGGAGAGCGGGAAGGAGCCACGACACTTCCCGTGTAGGATGGTCCAGCCACAGTGCGCATCTGGTTGGAACAGGCACACCACTACCCGGGCTTTGTCCAGCCAGGTTCAGTGTTCAAGTGCAGAGCAGGAGTGACGGAGTTGGGTTCCTACCAGAGAGTGAGCACAGCTGAGGCACGAGGGGCTTGCTGGGTAGACGCTCTCACGTGGAGGAACCTCGGGATCTCAGCGGGCAGGGAGAATGGGGCACGCATGAAGGGGGCAGGAACTCATGTGTTGAAGGATGGAGGAGTCAGTCACAGGAGTAAGGGCAGAGACGGGACTCCTGTGCCACAGAGGGGACCCTGGTGATGGCAATGGGACTCCCGTGTCACAGAGGGGACCCTGGTGATGGAGATGGGACTCCTGTGCCACAGAGGGGACCCTGGTGATGGAGATGGGACTCCTGTGTCACAGGGGGGACCCTGGTGATGGAGATGGGACTCTGTGTCACAGGGGGGACCCTGGTGATGGAGGTGGGACTCCTGTGCCACAGAGGGGACCCTGGTGATGGAGATGGGACTCCGTGTTACAGAGGGGACCCTGTGATGGAGATGGGACTCCTGTGTCACAGGGGGGACCCTGGTGATGGAGGTGGGACTCCTGTGTCACAGGGGGGACCCTGGTGATGGAGATGGGACTCTGTGTCACAGGGGGGACCCTGGTGATGGAGGTGGGACTCTGTGTCACAGAGGGGACCCTGTGATGGAGATGGGACTCCTGTGTCACAGGGGGACCCTGTGATGGAGATGGGACTCCGTGTCACAAAGGGGACCCTGGTGATGGAGATGGGACTCCTTGTCACAGGGGGGACCCTGGTGATGGAGATGGGACTCCGTGTCACAAAGGGGACCCTGGTGATGGAGATGGGACTCCGTGTCACAAAGGGGACCCTGGTGATGGAGATGGGACTCCTGTGTCATAGGGGGGACCCTGGTGATGGAGATGGGACTCCTGTGTCACAGGGGGGACCCTGTGATGGAGATGGGACTCTGTGTCACAGAGGGGACCCTGGTGATGGAGATGGGACTCCGTGTTACAGAGGGGACCCTGTGATGGAGATGGGACTCCTGTGTCACAGGGGGGACCCTGGTGATGGAGGTGGGACTCCTGTGTCACAGGGGGGACCCTGGTGATGGAGATGGGACTCTGTGTCACAGGGGGGACCCTGGTGATGGAGGTGGGACTCTGTGTCACAGAGGGGACCCTGTGATGGAGATGGGACTCCTGTGTCACAGGGGGACCCTGTGATGGAGATGGGACTCCGTGTCACAAAGGGGACCCTGGTGATGGAGATGGGACTCCTTGTCACAGGGGGGACCCTGGTGATGGAGATGGGACTCCGTGTCACAAAGGGGACCCTGGTGATGGAGATGGGACTCCGTGTCACAAAGGGGACCCTGGTGATGGAGATGGGACTCCTGTGTCACAGGGGGGACCCTGGTGATGGAAATGGGACTCCGTGTCACAGAGGGAACCCTGTGATGGAGATGGGACTCCGTGTCACAGAGGGGACCCTGTGATGGAGATGGGACTCCTGTGTCACAGGGGGGACCCTGGTGATAGAGGTGGGACTCCTGTGTCACAGAGGGGACCCTGGTGATGGAGATGGGACTCTGTGTCACAGGGGGGACCCTGGTGATGGAGGTGGGACTCTGTGTCACGGAGGGGACCCTGTGATGGAGATGGGACTCCTGGGTCACAGAGCGGATCCTGGGAGCTGCTATGGTGCAGATCAGGCCAGGACTGGGGTGTCACCCAGAGAATGTGGCTGACATCACTGGGGGTGGAAAAGTAAAGGCATTGGTTGGCATCACATGGAGGCTGATGGGGGGGGCAGCAGCATCTACTGTCCTTGGAGAATCCAAGGCGAGGCCAGAGAGAGTGGAGCAGGTGACAGAAGCATGAATTCAGAGCAAAAGCTCAGAGTGGGTGCGTGCTGACCTCAGCAAGGCCTTCCCTGAACTGAGGCAAGGGGATAGTTCTCAGTTTATCAGCAGGACGAGCCTTGCTCTACTCTGGAGTCTCCCCTGAGACTGATGACCTTCTGGAGTCCCAGTTCCCTGACTCTGAGCTTGGGAGGTGGTACAGACACTAATCTTATGTGAAGGACTGGGAGAACAGGACACTCCTGTGTAGACAGCAGTTGTTATTGTGGAGTCAAGTATCAGGAGGCAGAGGCGTTGGCAGCCAAGAGCCCTCCTACGGGGTAGAGGAATGTTGGAAGATGTGTGGGATTGCCTAGGGGCTGGACCCACAGTCTTCTGGAGCCGGGTTCCTCAGAGGGTCCTGGAGCTGATGAAACGTCTCTTCCCTGGGAGGCTGGTGTGGACTGCACACGTGTGGCAAGACAGTTTCATCCATGGCAAGAAGGAGCCAGCCTATTTCACTCTTCTAGTTCCTGCTTGAGTCACATTTGGGGATGTTCCAGGGCCACATGATCAAGTCCATATGCGGGAGTTGGAGAAACAGGCTGTTTCTTGGGGAGAGGCGCTGGAGTGGGCCTAGCCCAGCCCTCCTGCTGGTTTTTCACAATCCATCTTGACTACAGCTGTGTGCATTCCTATCGTGAACAAGCTGTCTTTCCATGCTGAGTTCCCCAAAGCTCCGTGTGACAGGGATCACAGCTACCATCAACAACCCTGTGACCTCCGTGGGACTGTGCACTGAGCCTCAGCATGGCT